CCCCGAGAATGAGGTGAGGACACCCCGGGTCACACTGTGAGCACTGGGGCTGTGTCTGCTCCCCGAGAATGAGGTGAGGACACCCCGGGTCACACCGTGAGCGCTGGGGCTGTGCCTGCTCCCCGAGAATGAGGTGAGGACACCCCGGGGGAACAATGCGGGACCCGCGGATGGGGCTTGGCCGTGATGGGCTCGGTATTCCCGGGCAGGAAGGGAAGCACGGCATCGAGGGTGTGACCACGCTGTTCTACATGGTGCACTGCGGGAAGGCCCTGTACAACAACCTGCTGTGGAGCAACTGGAGCCCAGCGGCGCTCTCCAAGCTGGTCATCATCGGGAACAGCTTCCGAGGGATCGAGGAGAGGTCTGGGCACAGCCTGGACAGGCTCTAGTGTCTCCCACCCTGCTTTCCTCTTCTCTGTCCCCCTACTTTATTGCCTCTAACAGAAATTTCCCTGTTTTGTGCATTTTTCCTGCCATAGTTTTCAGTCATGAGCCCTTTCCCCTCTCCTCTGTCCCACCCCCATGCAGAAAACCTGTCTAAATCCCCAGGAATGTTGTGTCTAACGTGGACATCTTGTGTTATTGCAGATTGCTGTCCAGAATCTTGGAGAGAGATTATTCTTACATAGCAAAGGTGAGGCAACAGTTTAACATTATCGTTCCATGTTGACAACACAACTTTTAATGAGAAAGGAAATTAACTGCCATTGGAAAGAGGAGGGAGTTATTTTCAAAAGCTTTTTCCTAGACACTGTAATATAAAAGCTAATCACTGTAGGATTGTTGAACATCTGCAGAACATCCTGCACACAGGGGCTGAGGGTAATGCAACACCATTCTCCTCCTCACTGGCTCAGCTCTGCAGGAAGGGGCTGCTGCATTGTCTGTAACTTTTTCCCCAAATGATCTTTAGGTCTTGAAAGGAGTGGAGGAAGTGGCACTCCCCAGTCACCCACGCTACCTTGACACCTTCAATGACACCTCTGTGCACTGGTTTCCCTTGGATAAACTGCAGGAGCTCTCCCCTGAGGTCTGGGACTTTGTGGAAGAGCCAATGTACCAAGATTGTGAGGACCTGGAGATCATCAGGAAGGGGGAGGAAGCTACTGCCAAGTCCTGACCATCCCTGTGGTGGCAGGGCTGGGATCCACATCTCTTCCCATGGAAGCTTCTGTGCACCTAAGATGGAGCTCAAGTAGCAACTGTGGCATCAGGCTCTGTCCAAAATGGCAGCACCTGGATGCTGAGGTGATGGGACATTTTTGTATTTTATTTAATAAAAAAGTAAAGCTGAGCTTTGATTTACACTCACTGAACTCCAGCAAACTGATTCCACCAAAACCTGCCTTGGGAGCCATTCACACTGCAGTGACTGCTCTGATTCCCTCCCCTTCCAGAACAATTCAAGGCCTTTGCATGTCCTACACACATTGCAAAGCATCAGGAAGGGGAAATTATCAGAGGGGTTTGTATTGGGAGGTGTTGGGGTCTGGTTCCCAGTGCACACTTGGAAGTCCCAGCTCTCATTGCTGCTGAGATCAGCTCTTGATCAGTCCTGAGAACAACCAGGTTGGTTCCCTCCAGGAAAAAAAGCTTTAGTTTTCTTCTCTCACCTCTGTGCTCTTAACCACTGCAGTCCCACAGGAGAGAGAGTTGGGACAGGTCCTGCTGTGTGCAGCAAAGAGGAGCCCACTGTGTGAGGGATGCTGTGGGGACAATAACTCACTGTCAGCACAAGCTGTGACATCTGTCACAGCTAGAGACTCAGGGGACTCAGCTAGGCCAGCCCTCACTGAGCAGAGATGTGATCACTCCTAACCTGCTGGTAAACCTGTCCCAGGTGGCAATTACAAATGTCAGCACTGCTTGTTCTCCCTTAGCCTGGCTTCCTGGGTCGGGAAGTCTGGCCTTCCACCCTCTTACCACTGCCTGAATAGCTCTTCCAATAAAACCATCCTGGCATCCAGCTCCAGTGTCACTATTTACAAACCTGGAACTTTATTCTAAGGGCCACCCAGGAGTTGTTCCTGGTTGGTGACTCAATCCCCAGCAGGGCCTAACTTGGCCATGTCTGAGGCTCTGCAGCGAGATGGGCACCCAGGGTGGTCTCTCCTTGCACAGAGACCTCATTTGGCCATGTCAGTGAGGCTCTGCAGCGAGGTGGGCACCCAGATCTCCTTTTGCACAGAGGCCTCACTTAGCCATGTCTGAGACTCTGCAGCGAGGTGGGCACCCAGGTGCTCTCTCCTTGCACAGATGCCTCACTTGGCCATGTCAATGAGGCTCTGCAGTGAGGTGGGCACCCAGGTCTTCTCCCCTTGCACGAACACCACGCCCCTGTCGATGTAGATGACGATCCTGCCAAAGGTGTAGAGCTGCTTGCCCTCGTGCCTCTTGCCGATGACGGGCATGAAGACGATGTTGTGCTCCTCGGCCTTGGTCTGGATGAGGTCCTTGAAGTTCATGGGCACGGAGCCGGCGGCGGCGCCGATGCCGCGCTGGGCCATGTTCTCGGCCTCACGCCGCTCCTGCATGGCCTCGTACTGGAAGTCCTTGCGCCGCTCCGTGTGTGTCAGGTACGCGATGTTCTCCCGGGCACCCGGCTGCATGTACCCACCTGGGGGAGAGAATGGGGAGAAAACCATCTTGAGCTGCTCCTCTCCATCCAGGACATGAATTGGAGTGTGGTGGTCAAGTTTGGGCTCAGAAAGGGAGTTGTCAGTTTGGGAAAGAGGGCAGATTTCACGTCTGCTCCCTCAGGCACGCCCTTCTCTTTTACACCATGTAACTACCAACTATCACTTTTAGGTAGTAGGGAGAAGCATGTGGAAGGGAACTGCTGGCTCCCTTCACCT